CCATCAACTCATCCAATTCAAACACTCTTTGACTTGGGTTTTGTTTACAATCCATCTTGGGCTTCATCTAAGCTACCTAGCATTAGTTTTCACAAGGGTGCACCACATCCACTCATTAGACTTAACTAGGTTAAGCTATCCATTCGTACCCTCCTTTATAGTATGACCAAATGAAAAATAAAGATCCTATCACTACTATAAGTGTCCCTCAACACCATTAACACTTAGAACTAGTCAATCCTTAATCTTTGCGCTCATCCTTTAAAAACTGAAATGAATACCAACCATAGGAGTATGGAAACCATGATTGCCCATCAACCAAACATCATTGTGACCTCACTAAGTAATGTCACTGCAAAACACATGTTAGTCACAATGATTGTGTGGTCATTAATTGCTAAAACCAAATTTGGGGCCTAGATGCTTTCAAATGTGTTAACCATTAAGGGCAAGAGTTAGAGAGGGCAAACATGTGAAGATGAGGTGATTTATCCCATGGTTTGGTGTCAAAAACATGACTCCTACCCTTGTTGGAGCTCCACTAAGGTATACTCTCGTTTATCAAGTCTTCCGTTGTCACGGTGAAAGGTCCTAATGGCTAGAGGGGGGTGAATAGCCTATTAAAAATTTCTACAACAACACTTAACAAACCGGTTAGACAATTATGAGACGAAGCAAGTGTTGCACTAGCCTACTAAAAATGCAAGCCACCTACCACAATTCTTGTTTATATAGTTTCTATCCACACAATAGCTATGTCACTACACTAAGTTAGTGTGCTCTCAAAGGCTAACTAAAGAGCCACACTAACCAAACTAACAAGCTCTCACAACTAGCTACACTAAAGAGCTTGACAACTATTTTGCGGTAATGTAAAGAGAGTGAGCAATTTGTTTATACCGTCGTGTCGAGGAGTGAACCAATCAATCACAAGAATGAATACCAATGAAGACCAATCACCTCAGAATCAAATGATGACACAATGATTTTTACCGAGGTTCACTTGCTTGCCGGCAAGCTAGTCCACATTGTGGCGATTCACTCACTTGAAGGTTCACGCGCTAATTGGCATCACATGCCAAACCCTCAATAGGGTGCCGTACAACCAACACAAGATGAGGATCACACAAGCCACGAGCAATTCACTAGAGTACCTTTTGGCTCTCCACCGGGGAAAGGTCAAGAACCCCTCACAATCACCACGATCGGAGCCGGAGACAATCACCAACCTCCGCTCGATGATCCTCGCTGCTCCAATCCGTCTAGGTGGCAACAACCACCAAGAGTAACAAGCGAATCCTACAGCGAAACACGAACACCAAGTGCCTCTAGATGCAAACACTCAAGCAATGCACTTGGATTCTCTCCCAATCTCACAAAGATGATGAATCAATGATGGAGATGAGTGGGAGGGCTTTTGCTAAGCTCACAAGGTTGCTATGTCAATGTAAATTGCCAAGAGAGTGAGCTTGAGCCAGCCATGGGGCTTAAATAGAAGCCCCCACGAAATAGAGTCATTGTACCCCTTCACTAGGCACAACACGGGGTGACCGGACGCTCTAGTCATATCGACCAGACGTAGGACCCCAGCGTCCGGTCGTGCGATGCACGCCACGTGTCCCCTCTCTTCAAATACTGAGCGCCCGATCCCAACGGTCAAGTGATGACCGGACGCGCTGCTACGAAGTGACCGGACGCTGGACCTCAGCGTTCGGTCGTTTCCAGTAAGCATCCAGAAGCGAGAAATCACGACCGGACGCGTCCGGTCATGCTCGACCGGACTCACCCAGCGTTCGGTCACTCGGCATCTCCTCTGTGCGCTGCCATGTCAGCAGGACCGGATGCACCCCTTCAGCGTCCGGTCACCAAGTGACCCAGCGTCCGGTCGCGGACCGACGCCAGCGTCTTCACGCATCCACTGACCGGACATGCCGGTCCTACCGAGACCAGCGTCCGGTCACTTACAGTGACCTCCGTCTTTTCTGTATAGAGCGCCGGTGAAGTTCCTAACCCTTGCTCAAATGTGCCAACCACCAAGTGTATCACCTTGTGCACATGTGTGTTAGCATATTTTCACAAAACATTTCCAAGGGTGTTAGCACTCCACTAGATCCTAAATGCATATGCAATGAGTTAGAGCATCTAGTGGCACTTTGATAACCGCATTTCGATATGAGTTTCACCCCTCTTGATAGTACGGCTATCGATCCTAAATGTGATCACACTCATTAAGTGTCTCGATCACCAAAACAAAATAGCTCCTACCATTTATACCTTTGCCTTGAGCCTTTTGTTTTTCTCTTTCTTCTTTTCAAGTCCAAGCACTTGATCATCACTATGGCATCACCATCATCATGTCATGATCTTCATTTGCTTCACCACTTGGAATGTGCTACCTATGCCATGATCACTTGATAAACTAGGTTAGCACTTAGGGTTTCATCAATTCACCAAAACCAAACTAGAGCTTTCACACGGTGTTGGCTCGCCACCAAGTCCCCATCAACTAATGCAAGTGTTGTAATCCACCTAGACTCACTATCATTGTCCATCTCTTCTGGTCACCTTGGCTCAGTCTTCACTATGAGGTTTCTCTACCAAGGAAGGGTCAACTCATCCCTTAGACACCAAGTTGTCGCCGGTCCACACCAAGCTTAGACGGTCGACACCATAAGGGCACCAAGGCCTTTGCTAGAAGGTCTCACCAAGACCTCAAGTGATATGGCTCACCAATATACAATTGCAATAAGTCAAGGTCACTCTATTTGGATACAAACTCTAAGCTCTCCTATGGATTGGAGTGTATCTCAAATGTGAAGCAATGTCTCTTCACTTCTTTGGTCTCCATCACTTCCCCCAAATGGAAGCAAAATTGCAAAAGTAGTGAACACCGGATGATCCGATGGCTCTCAAAACCCTTCACCGGATCATGATCCAACTGTTGCAGACTATTGCTGACAGTTGAATCTTTAGCTGCTGACACTAGGCCCCCCTGCATCAGATGATTTGCTGCATATCTTCATGCGTCCAGCATATAATATGGTCACCCTATTCACTGAGGACTCGAACATATGTCTTGATATTGAGTTGCATCGGACCATACTCCGCACACTAAACACTGACAGATGATCCGATGACCCTGTTTTATGAGGTTTTTAACTATGCCAACTCTCTGATGTGCACCGTGTGATCATGTAGGCACTTCTTCACCTTGGCAAACCCAGTGGCCTCTATCTTCACTGCTACAGTACTTCATGCCACATATGATTCGGTGCCCTTAATCAAGTGTTATGGTGAATGATTCGTTAAGGAAATAAGGAATCTTTGCCATTTCTTATCCGTTTCAACTCAGATCTTGATCAAACTTTAACCATGCACCCATAAGACCTGTATAAACCTATCTAACACTTCTCTGCACATATTCATTACAGCCATGTCAGCTAGAACCACCATAAATTGAGGGTTCAAAAGTGAATGGTTTTTATACTTACAGACTGAAAGCTACACTCATACCATAGTTGGGGGATGCAAAATGGAATTTTCTCAACAAAGGATATAGTTATTGCATTGTTTTCACTCTAACTCCTGTCAAATTCTTTACAAAAGGAAAAATGGTAATTTTAGTATTTCACATTCATTTTTCTACGGACCTATGGGCAAACCTAGTAAAACGGTGACAATATTATCTTTTGTGTTCTGTCAACAGCTCTGGGGAAGTCAATCGATTTGATTGGACTAGCTGGTTTATCAACTTGAGTTAAGGCTAGAACTTTGCGGTATATTTGGTTCATAGGACGAGGTAGGATCATCCCATTCTAGTTTCACGTGTGTGGTTGGCAGCCGAGAAGGGATGGAATAACTACAAATGAGAATATTTCTGTAGATGTTGGACGAACTCATCCTAGAAAATATCTAAAATGCTGCAATCCTACCTGTGACATGATATAATATGACAATGGGACCAATGTCAGGATAGAACCATCCTATTTTTAGAAACTAAGATGGAACTATCCCATCTTAAAAAAACAAGAATAATGGAGCCATCCTATCTCACCTCACTCTTCGACCAAGCGTTACCTTAATTTCCCATTATGTGAATCCAAGGAATGACCTTGGTTCAGGATATTGCAGTATCCAAGTCGTAATTAAGGTGCTAACCATGGTTGCCGTCACCTAATTCACACGTCTTCTACTTCCTCAAGTAAGGCTACTAATGCAATGATCTCTTTGTTCTAAATATAAGATGTTTAGGATTTGGTCCTATATCAAACTTTCTAACTTTAACTTTATAGAAAATATATCAATATCTATAATACCAAATAAACGCACTATCAAACATATTTTATGGTGGATTTAATAAAGCTAGCTGATGTTTTAAATATGGTGCTTTTTTATAAACTTGATCAAAATTTTAGAAACGTTTCTGCTTCTCCCTAACTGATATGCAACGGTGGTGGTACATAAGGGACATACTATAAAATTAAAACAGATGGCTGCGAAGGAAACTATAATTTTCTATATATATAATATATAAAGGAAGAGTATACATTTTGATGACATTGAAAGAATTTTTTCATAGATTTTTTTCTACTGTCATGTCCCACATGTGATGACTTGACTTAAAAAGGTATAGCCCAATTCGTCGTTTCTGAGTGCTGAGTGGCGTCAACCACTCACGCTGTTTCCAAGTCTGCTTTACGGTCCCAACGTGTTTCTGAGTTGCACCAAGCGGGCAGACTACGGGAGAGTCTTTCACCATTTCGTTTTTCGTTCACACTGTCTGCCGGAAGCAGACTTGCGCTCTGCCAGTCTGCCGTGATGCTCAGGCAAGGCCACAACCACCCTTCGTTGCCGCTTGCCTATATAAAGCCTGAAAGCTCTGCTGCCCCTCCCGCGTCCATCTCCACCTCCCTCATACAACGCCACGCGCACTTGCCGGAACGCGCGTGCCCTAGTGCCAGTGGAGAGATTGCACCAGCAGCGGGCCTGCGGCAACAGTAATGGCCAATGCCACTGTCCCCGAGTCGCAGCCGCAGGTGCAAGCGGCGCCGGGTGGCCGCAAGGTGGTGGACGAGGTGTCCGGTTGGCTGCGCGTGCTGGACGACGGCAGCGTCGACCGCACATGGACCGGCCCACCCGAGGTCCTCCCGATGATGCAGCCCGTGGCGCCGTACGCCGTGCCCCGCGACGGGCACACGCTGCACGACCTCCCTGGGGAGCCCAGTTTCCGGATCTACCTCCCCGAGGTCGACGTCGGCGACCGCGAGGGCGGGCGCCTGCCCGTCATCGTGCACCTCCACGGCGGTGGCTTCTGCTTCTCCCACCCGTCCTGGGTCATGTACCACCACTTCTACTCGCGTCTCGCGTGCGCCGTCCCCGCCGTGGTCATCTCCGTCGAGCTCCCGCTCGCGCCCGAGCGCCGCCTGCCTGCGCACATCGACACGGGCGTCGCCGCGCTCCGCCGGCTCCGCTCCATCGCGCTGTCAGAGGACGGAGCTCTTGATGACAGGGCAGCTAAGCTCCTCCGTGAGGCCGCTGACGTCTCCCGGGTGTTCCTCGTCGGCGACAGCTCTGGCGCTAACATCAGCCACTTCGCCGCCGCGCGTGTAGGCCAGGACGGCGCTGGCATCTGGGCGCCCCTGCGCGTCGCCGGTTGCGTTCTGATCCAACCAGGATTCATGCGCGCAACAAGGAGCCGGTCGGAGCTGGAGGTGGGGGACTCGGTGTTCTTCACGCTGGACATGCTGGACAAGTGCAACGCCATGGCGCTGCCGGTTGGCGCCACCAAGGAGCACCCCTTCACGTGCCCCATGGGTCCTCAGGCGCCGCCCCTGGAGTCCGTGCCGCTCCCGGCGATGCTGGTGGCCGTCGCCGAGAACGACCTGGTCCGCGACACAAACCTCGAGTACTGCGACGCGCTGCGTGCCGCCGGTAAGGAGGTGGAGCTGCTGCTCAACCGTGGCATGGGCCATGCATTCTACCTCAACAAGTTCGCCGTTGACATGGACCCCAGCACAGGAGAGCGGACGCAGGAGCTGATTGACGCCATCGTGAGCTTCATCGCTTGCCACTGAACGCTGAGGTGCAAGAATAATGTAATTTGCCTGTGCTACGCGTGTCCACAATTGACTGAGGTGAACACAAATATGTGTCAGCGTCACTGAACGCCGAAGTGCAAAAATGTAATTTGGCTGTGCTATGCGTGTTCACAATTGAGGTCAACAAATGTGTGTCAGCGTCACGTCTCGCCTGCACTTGTAACTTGCATGGCGTTTGCCCCTACTGCCCATATCAATGTTATCTGTAATTGATGCGAAGTTAGAGCATCTCCGGCAGTAATACCTAGGAGACCTCGGGAGCGGGCGTCAGTCCGCCCATACACCGCTTTCCGGCCTGCTTCTCTGCGTCTTGGTATCTCTCTCTCAAAAATATCTGACTCATGTGCTCGCCCATCGCATGCTGCTACGTCATGTGCTCACTATTGCTGTCTTCCTCGTCGTGCACCCCATCCCACACCACGCCTCCTTCGTCGCCGCCCCGCGCTCCATCCCCCGCTGCGCCCGCTCCAGCTCACTATGTGATGCGTCCCCGTTGCTGCGCATCGTGCCCCGTCCCTCGCGCGCGCCTTGGTGCTGCCGACACCGCTGTTCTCCACCAGAAGGTCATGGCCACTATCGATGTCATGTCCGCCACGACGCACGATCTCAGCAAGGAGATGTTGTGATGAAATGGTATGTTGCAACCATATGTTTCAAGTGTTTCAGAGGTATGTTGCAACTGTTACATATTGATGTTGCAAAATTAGATCGGGGATATTGCACGTGTTGCATATGTTGTTGCAAGTGTTTCAGAGGTTTGTTCAAAATGTTTCATTTGTTACAGACGTATGTTGCAAGCGTTCTGATCTAGATATTGCATATGTTTCACACATATGTTGCGATATGTTTCAAATGTTTCAGTTGTTTCGATCTTATGTCGCCGTAAGTGTTCTATCTAGATGCTGTATATGTGTTTACACAGATGTTTCAAGTGTATGTTTTAGATGTTTTATCTGTTACATCGTATCTGCTTTCGTCCTCTGCCTTCATATGTCTTGTGCTTACCAACTGTTTGTGGAAATGCCTACAGGAAGTGACGCTCCAGATCATTTTGACTATCTGATTCAAGTGTTTCATGTTGCATGTTGCACGTGTTTTATGTTGTTTGGAGAGTCAGGGGGCGTGGGAAGTGATGGTGGCACGACACTGGACGCTTGGGAATGAGGCACGGCTTTCTTAGATTTTAGGGGGGGCAGGATCGGATGTGTACTATCAAAATACTGTGTGCACCAGTTTCCGTTTGATGTCCTAGGATATAGGTTATAGTTTAAATTGGCAGCTGTATTTGGGCTCAGGCATTGTGTCAGCTTTAAATTGCGTCGCATTGCTACATTTGCTTGGGCGTGGAAGCGCTTAATGTTTCTTTAGCAGATACATATGTTGGTCATTTGGTGAATGGTCTTGAATCGAGGTGATAGGAGGTGCGCGTCATCAGGCAAGTCGTGCCACTTGACAGTGTATGACTGGATTTAAAAAGATACAGGATAAGCGGTGTTTTTAATGTCATGTGTTGGGGTGGGGTGAAGCGTAGATAGTGGATGGGCGGGAAAAATCAACGGATGGGGGCAGGTTGCACGGGTGTCCGAATGTCCGGGTGTTAGCACAGTCGTTCCCAATTTAGTTAGTGGAGGCTAGAAAAATCCGCTCCAGTAGACCCCTATTAGACTACTCCACTACCAAACTTTTATTTCGTGTTTCTTCTCTGCGCGAGTTTTTTTTGCTCGAACAAGTTGGCTTTTCTTCATCAGTGATTCATCGGGCGAATATGGCTGCCATTTATTTGTTGCAAATAATATAAGCCTCCCCTGGTGTCTTCATGTGTTCCATTTGCTTCTTCTTCCGCATCTATCTCTTTGTAAAATAATGAGTGTTCCATGATCAGGGCCTCCTCGGCCTGGCGCCGTCGGCGGATTTACTTTCAAAAATCTAAGTGCAGTCTACCCCGGCCGACTTCCTCCATGATGTGTGTAACCTCCTCCTCCACTAAAAAATATCTCCACTTCCTTCTTGGCAAGATTCTATACGCTTGGCTTATAGATGGTTTCTGGCGGTGGCCTCTAAACTCGACGCTGAGCTGAGCTGGAGGACAAGAGAAGGACGATGATATGTGGGTCACACACTCAGCTCGACATGGGCCATGCCTGCTAAGGCACGACCCATCAGGTGCCGGGATGGCACGACACGGGCCCATGCCTACGAAGGCATGTCCCTTCAGGCGTCAGGCAGGCACGACATGTCTGGCTTAGCGGGCCATGCCGTGCCCATCCATGAGCTGCACCTCAGGCATGGGCACGAACCTTTAAAATTTCATATGTTATGCTGCTGCGTCTATCTAGATGTGTATATATTTCCATAGTGTTTCAATTGTTGTGTATATGTTTGAAAATATGTTCCGGATTTCAGCCCATCAGACCCCATGTTGTTGTTCATATGTCATGTTAAATGAGGTGTTTCCGGCCTGCATCGCAATCACATGTGGCGGCAATGTTTCATGCCGGCCATGCGTGTCATGTCAGTTGACCGGTAGAAAAATCGGTCGGCCTGGCTTGCTCTTGAAGTTGAGTGGCTAGGGTCTAGGTGAATAGGAATAGGGAGGGATTGATATAGGGCATTGTTTAGATATCCTCAAAATTTCAAGTTTTTTCACTCTCTCTCCATCACATCAATTTTTAGCCGTTTGCATGGAGTATTAAATATAGGTAAAAAAATAACTAATTGTACAGTTTAGTTGGAAATCACGAGATGAATCTTTTGAGCTTAGTTGGTCCACGATTGGACAATATTTACCAAATAAGACGAAAATGCTACTATTCATCGACTTAAAATTCTTTTCAATCTAAACAAGGCCGTGCTGTCAGACCAGACTGGCATGTCATGCTGATTGCTGAGGGACTCATAGGCGGACCCAGAGCCCAAAGCGACCCAGGGCACTAGCCGGTCTCGTCGACAGGTACTGGGTGACGTGCGCATGTTACGTTAGCACGGAAAAAATTAGCATGGCCTGTGGACAACTATGCGTGCCAAGAGCACGGGCAGCCAGTCACCCAACTAAAAAGCATGCAGGTCCCGCATTCGCAGCAACTCAGCAACAACCAAAGGCGTCACGCTACGCTACCGATTTCAGAAATCCTTTTGGCCTGCATCTGCATGACGGGGCGCTCCTCTGGCCACTAGCGACTAGCCGATGGATCGCTAGAGTTGAACTCGGCCTGTGCATGTACATGTATAAATTCCAATTTGACATCACTGTACTGTACAAAGTGGGTTTGCAACAATCATCTCCGTCCTATTTTACTTGTTCATGATTCTTTTAGTAAGTATGATGCATTTATTAGTTAACACAAGATGCCAATGGTAGTTTCAAGGACTTGATGATTTCCAACATTGACCAGGAACTATTTAGATCACTCGATGAAGCTGCCTTCATATATCGACTACATAGATATTTCCTTCAATACACTATTGGACTTTTAGTGGTAACTGGTAAACTAGTAACGCACAGTTAATTTTAGTTTTATACTCGTCCAGGCTCTAGAAATTTTCTGGTCCACCAATGTGAGGGAGTGCCTAGGCACGACCCTCTCGTCGTGCTGGACTGACGCGGCCGTACTGAGCCTGGGCCAGGCCGAATCATCAAGCCATGAGCCATGCCCATGGACCTCGGGCCATAATGCCATCTATAGATTTGCGATATAGTATCGCACTACCGATATTTGGCTCCAAGGACGGACCATTCGGAGAACCCCCAACTGGTCAAGTTCAACTGCTCAAGCCCCCTCACACGTTGACAACTGACATGGATCTCATGTGCAATGTGCTGCACACTGCCATTTGCGCATGACCGACTTAACTTGGTGTCCTGATCAGAGTAGCTAGATCACACGATTGATATTGCCCAATTAGTAGCAGGTGTCCTAAAATTTCTTGTAGTTTCTTCCACTCGTTTTTTGCAAGGAAATAGCTTATTCCTTGACGTGACTCACCAGAGAGTAGCTAACAACTAAAGTGCTCTCTAGTCATCGTCCGGTCAGAATCCCCAGTTCATACTCAGGAAGGCACTTTGCTGCCCCACCTGCTCGGAAATTGCAGCAAGAAGGCGGACTCCCGGCTCCAAGTCTTGCTACCAACTGCAGCAGGTTCAGTCTAGCCGGTCCACACGTACGGCACGCAGGTTCTCCGCCTTGGCGTCGTGCTGCTCTTCTCACGCGCTCGGTTGCTCCGACGACCGACGTCGCGAACCCGCAATTCTGATCGAAATCGCCCAGGCATTCTCTTTGAAAGTTCCCTGCGAAGGAGCGGCAAGCACAACCACAATTCACACGCAACCTCCTGGCCTCTCGAGTCATCTCCACCACTGCCTATAAAACCCGGCTCCAGCATCGCTATGTGCAATCCAACCACTAATCATTTCCACCGTGCGCAGCCGTCGTGTCATACGTGCTCATACAACGCCGCCCGCACTGCGCCGAGCCCAGTGCACAGCACACTACCCCAGCAACACCGATGGCCGCCCCTGCCAATGCCCAGCAGCAGCCGCAGGTGCAACTGGTGGGTGGCCGCAAGGTGGTGGACGAGGTTTCCGGCTGGCTGCGCGTGCTGGACGACGGCAGCGTCGACCGCACCTGGACAGGCCCGCCGGAGGCCCTCCCGCTGATGGAGCCGGTGCCGCCGTACGCGGTGCCGCGTGACGGGCACACGCTCCACGACCTGCCCGGGGAGCCGAACCTACGCGTGTACCTCCCCGAGGCGAAGGCGGAAGGCGGCGCGCGCCTGCCCGTCATCCTGCAGCTCCACGGCGGCGGCTTCTGCATCACCCACCCGTCCTGGCTCATGTACCACCACTTCTACGCGCGCCTCGCGTGCGCCGTCCCCGCCGTGGTGGTCGCCGTCGAGCTCCCGCTAGCGCCCGAGCGCCGCCTGCCCGCGCACATCGACACCGGCGTCGCCGCGCTCCGCAGGCTCCGCTCCATCGCGCTGTCCGAGGACGTCAGCGCCCTCGACGACCCGGCGGCCGCGCTCCTCCGTGAGGCCGCCGACGTGTCCCGGGTGTTCCTCATCGGGGACAGCTCGGGCGGCAACCTCGTCCACCTCGTCGCCGCCCGCGTGGGCCAGGAAGCAGACGCGGGCACTTGGGCTCCCCTCCGCTTGGCCGGCGGCATCCCGATCCACCCGGGGTTCGTGCGCGCCACGCGGAGCCGGTCGGAGCTGGAGACGAAGGCGGACTCGGTGTTCTTTACGCTGGACATGCTGGACAAGTTCCTCGCCCTCGCGCTGCCGGAGGGCGCGACCAAGGACCACCCCTTCACCTGCCCAATGGGTGCCCAGGCGCCGCCGCTGGAGTCCGTGCCGCTGCCGCCGCTGCTTGTGTCCGTGGCCGAGAACGACCTCATCCGCGACACTAACCTCGAGTACTGCAACGCGCTGCGCGCCGCCGGCAAGGAGGTGGAGGTGCTGATCAACCACGGCATGAGCCACTCCTTCTACCTTAACAAGTACGCCGTCGACATGGACCCCACCACTGGGGAACGAGCCCGAGAGCTCATCGACGCCATCAAGAGCTTCATCTCACGCCACTGAAGTGCAAGAACATACTATTCCGCACGTGCCGATACAGATCATATCATAATATATGTTGCTACATGATGTTCATTTTCAGCACTCCTAGGTTTTGTTTAGATCACCTCTAAATTCTAAGTTTTTTCACTCTTTCTTTATCACATCAAGTTTTAGACGTATGTATGGAACATTAAATGTAGGTAAAAAAAATAATTAATTATATAATTTGGTTGTAAATCACGAGATAAATTTTTTGAGCCTAGTTAATCTATGATCGGACAAAGTTTGTCAAATACAAATAAAACGTACTACAGTGTTCAAGTTACAAAAATTTACAATCTAAACAAGCTCTACACACCACTCATGTTAGTCTACGTGCGAGTGTTTACACCCATACACGTTCGTCTGACTGCTTTGATTCACTATATTAATTCGTGCCGGTGGAAATGATATATCAACTACTTCAATAATGAGGTGGTACACCTACATGCTGTCCTTTGCACCATTGGATGGCACCCACACGCTGTAGTATGTCTGTTTATCGTGATTTGTAGTGATGCATTTCCTACGCCATGTTCGTTTGGCTTGTGCTTGTTGTATATAATCGTAAATTTTTAGTTAAAATAGTATTTTTTTTCACACAAACCAACCAGCGGTATTTCTTCACGAACCAGCAACGATACGAACCAGCCAACCGAACAGGCTGTTAATTTCATTCAAAAGTTTATGAGAAGTGCTCCAATACCCGGTTAGTGAACACAATGTCGGACAACCCGTGGAGGCAATTGGTGTCATGGATCGAGTAGAAGTTGTGTCAATTTTACAAAAAGTTCACCATTGGCAGGCATATTAGGTGGTGGATCGACCATTCAGTTTCGTTAGTATATATAAATACATTTATGTGAACACCGAGGTGAATGTGTCTAACTACACATTTAATTGTTTTGTAGGTTTAACATACTCAAATGCAGGTTGAGATGGGGTTCTTAAACCCGGCCAGGGATTGCTGTTTTTGATGAATTGACAAAGGGCTTGCTGTTTAATAAGTCAGATATCCTCCATACTTGTAGCCATGCCATGTAAGTTTGCAAATGTCTCATTTTATAGTACACATTACATGTTGAGTGGTTCAGCCCAGCTACTTTCCATGGGACACTGTGAATGCAAGAACCATTATATATGTCCATTTTGACATCATCTTACAGGAATGCACTCTCACTGTTTTCGACTAACCAATTTGGAGATATATGGGTTGCAATCTCTTGACGGTTTCATTATGGAGTGATTTCATGAGTGGGATGAATCTGATGCGCATGTAGCCTCATCTATGATCTATCATCCGGCTCAGAGGTTGGCCCCTGAAGCCCTTCAGCAGTCAATTGACAACCTAGCGACCTACTTAGACTGTGCAGCAAAGCTTGTGTTAACTGTGTTTCACCTTTTTTCTTGTGTTGCAGATAGTAGTGTCATCTTTAGTGGAGCTGACCATTTTGAAGATATCTGGGCTGCAAGAAGATCTTGGCGGTTTTATTATGGAGTGATTTCGTGAGTAGGATGAATCTGATGCGCATGCAGCCTCATCAATAATCTTTCCTCCAGCTCAGGGTTGGCCCCTGAAGCCCTTCAGTCAATTGACAACCTAGCGACCTACTTAGACTATGTAGTAAAGCTTGTCTTAACTGTGTTTCACCTTTTTTCTTGTGTTGTAGATAGTAGTGCCATCTTTAGTGGAGCTGACCATTTTGGAGATATCTGGGCTGCAAGAAGATCTTGGCAATTTCATTATGGAGACCATCACCTTATCTGCTACAGTTCCTGACCTTGGAATGCTAGTTTCATTTTGGACGTTTGTTTGTGTTCTAAAAACTATATATTCGCTATGGTTGGATTTGAACGTTATGCCGCTGTGGTTTAAAACTATGTATATTGCTGTCGTTTTGTATGGATATTTGTCTCGGTGGTGTTTTGAAAAATATATATGTTGCTGGCGATGCGTAAGCCATGAAATTTCTGCATTATTGTTGGTGTTATAATGTATTGTGAACAATAATGATGCACAGTAGTAAAGTCGGCGGAAATGGACAAAATATTACTGCCGGCACAAACACAACGGCGGCGGTGACGCTGCCCCTGTAACACCCTAAAATTTACATAATTTTAAAATAGGCGAAAACGATTTAATTATGCATTTTTGTGAGCATTTGAATTTAGGAAAATAATAATTTTATCAAATTAAAATCAAATATAGGTCTACATACATGTATGTGCATTCATGCTGCTGCATATTACTTTTGTATTGTGTGGTTTAAAATCAAATTTCAAAATGATTTGAATTTGCATTCAAAACTTGGTTGGAAATTAGTTTAGAAAACTGGAAAAGGATTTTCCCCTCCGTTCCTCGAATTCGGCCCGCTGGCCTGCTTCTCCGCGCTGGCCCAGCTTGGCCTCCCTCCTACGCCCGCGACCGTTCCTGCCTCTGCGGCCCAGTTCCGCGTCCCGTGGCCCAGCCGAAGGCCTAGGTCCGCGCCGCGCTCTCCTTTCCACTTCTCTCTCGCTGACATCGCGGCCCACGCCTTTTCTTTCGCTGACAGCCTGGGCCCACATGTCGAAGCCGTCTTCTTCAGCTCGTGTTCGAGCAGGACTCAGCGCCGCCGTGACCGTGTCCGTCCCCGCCATGAGTCCTCGCGGTGGCGTGCTCCCCACGTCGCCTAGCCTCATAAAAGCCGAGCCCAAGTCTGCGCCGCCTCCCTATTCCACCTTAGAGCAAGCTTTCGCCCTCGCCTAGAGCTCGCAGCCGCCTAGCCCTAGCGTCGTCGCCGCCGTTGGGTTCAAGCCGCTGCCGCTCGCTGTCGTCGATTCCCCGCTCGAGATTTCGATTTCGGTGAGTCCGCCGTCGCTCCCTCTTTCTCCCAGTGTCTTCGGTTCATCAAACGGTGGTCCATAGGCTTTAAACCAATAGCGTTGCCAGCTCCGGCAATGGTGAGCTTCCTATTCCCCCGTCCGATTCAATCCTGGCCGCCCGAATCAAATCCAGCAGCCCAAGATCAAGGATACCCCTTTGTCTTGTAGTTTTGCAAAAGAGCCCTTATAAGTATTTAGTTTGTAACCCGCAGTCCATAGCATCTTTCTAGATTTCATTTTCTTCTTTTGAAAGCGTACTTTGTTTCGGTTAGATCTGAAATACGTTTTCAGTTATTTACAGTTTTGCCACTAGATTTGTTTAGGCCATAACTTTTTCGTTTTAACCCCGATTTACTCTGTTCAACTTGCGTTAGGTTCATAATTCCATAAACTACATATTCATACTACTGTTAAGTATGTTTTTAACTTTTAAGATTCGAGGTTAGATTTAATCTATTATTTTACTAAAAGAAATCTTGTTTAATTCATAACTTCTTCGTTTTAGCTCTGATTTTTGTGATCTTCGCGTCTGTGTGTTCGTAGCAAGACGTAGATTCGTTTTTCAAACTTTTCATCTTGATTTTATGCTGTTGGTATATTGTTCTAATCTATAGCTTTTGTTTGCTATGCATGATTGCTTCTGGATGCTTGTATGTTGCTGTGATTATCGAGTATAGACGGTGAGCAATTCGTGGGAGATCAAGGGTACTACTTTGACGAGCAGGATCAGCAGGAGTACTTTGTTCAAGGTAAGTATAGCATGGGATCATCCTTATTTCCTATTCACTTTAATACATTAAATGCATGTTGCATGTGTCACCTTGATAGGGATTCCCTAGAATTGAACTTATACCTTGTCACCTACGGGATATGCATTGGGTAGCTTTGCTAGTGCTCAATTAAACCATGATCTTGTAACTTAACTAATGGTATTGTCGGTGTTTTGGACCGGCGGGTCCTCAACCAACGAGTAAAAACGTATTGCGTGTCCCTATCCTGGATGGTGATGCAAAGAGACACAAGTTTTATACTGGTTCAAGCAATAGGTGCCCTACGTCCAGTCTGAGAGAGCGATCTTGTATTCCTTGCATCGAAGTGCTTGTAGTAGGGGTTTATAAGCGGGGCGAGAGAGGGGGTTAGTCCCAGGTCTCTACGTGGAGTGGCGTGGGTTGCTTGAGATGTTGATCTCTCGCAGTGAGGAGCGTGTGTATTACAGAGTGTTACTCGTTGCTTGCGCGTGTGTCTATCTGAGCGATGTCTCCATGAATGTGTGTGTGTGTTCGTCGGGTGTCTCCCCTCATTCTAGAAACGGCCCCGGTCGCCCCCTTTTATAGTTGAAGGAGAGGACAGGGGCGGTACATGCGTTTGCTACGTGGTGCGTGGTGTGAGCGGAGGTGGCGTGCCGAGCCCTGTAGCTCGCTACTGCGGCGGTATGGTGGATGGAGTGGTCTTGTCCTTCGTACTCTGGAGTGACGCGCTGGTCACGCCTGGCCCTATGCGACGTGGGAGCTCCTATGGTGGCAGGTGCGTTGGAAGCGTGCCGGTTGTTGTACGTTGGACCGGCGCGGAGTGCCGAGGCCGGGTTGATGCGATGGCGCGGGTGTGCTGACTCCGAGGATACAGGAGCTTAGCCCCGTACGCGACGTGGGAGCTCCTGCAGCCTGACGCAGGGTATGGCGCGTTCCGCGGGCGACGTGCCACTGCCAGAGTGTTGACAGCGTAAAGAGTCGAGGCTCAGTTGGTGCCGAGGCTGAGCCATCATGGGGGGCTCGGCGAGCGCGAATCTCGAGGCTACTGAGACCCTAAAGCGGATTACCGAGGCTCGGAGGGAGCAGTTGGTCCTGTACACTGATTTCGAGGCTACAGGGACCCGGACCTGACTCTCCATGCCGCGCTGTCCTCGGAGCAGGAGTTAGGTAGCATAGTGTAGTACGGGCATCAGCAGGGGGCACAGTGCCGAGCACAGTGGCCGATAACCCCTGCCCCGTCCTGTCCCGGACTGCATGGCGCCGATGTGACTCCCATCCCGTCGGCCACTCCGCTGTACCACGCCGGAGTGTGGCTGACGTTGCGGGAGTGGTTGGACGCATTGGTTGAGTGTGACACTCTGTCAGGGTGGT